AGCCATAGACATAAAAGTTGAAGTTGAAGTTGAAGTTGCTCTACTTATTAAATATATAATAATATTCATTTATACTTGCATATCCTTTATTATTTACATAACAAAAACTTAAAATGGTAGCAGAGCGTAAAAGGATCCGATATTTTTGAAGTGAAGTGTAAAACTCGCGCAATATAAGACGATGCCGAAAACGACATATCACATCGAACCTTTGGATAAGGATAACTATGATACCTGGGCGATACAAGCTGAAGCCGTGCTAATAAAAAACAAACTTTGGAAGTATGTTACTAACACACTACCTCCAACTCCAAGCAACGATGAACTTGACAGCGACAGAGAGGCTAAGTCAGAACTTATTTTACTGATTGCACCTTCACAGCTAAAGGACATCAAGAAATGCACTTCTGCGAAAGCCCTATGGGACAAATTAAAGGAAATACATGCAAGTAAAGGCCCTGCGAGAAAAGCTACTCTTCTAAAACGGTTAATACTAACTAAACTTGAAGACAGCAATGTTCGTGAGCACCTGAACAAGTTTATGGACACAGTAGACAAGTTAGCAGAAATGGATGTAGATATTAACGAGGAACTACTCACTATCCTGATGCTCTACAGTCTTTCCTCTGAATATGAAAACTTTCGTGTAGCCATGGAGTCACGCGACGTTCTACCGAAACCTGAGGAACTTAAAATAAAAATTATTGAAGAGAGCGACGCTCGACACCGTGACGTCGAAGTCAGCCCGCCACCACATGAAGAAGAAAACGCACTCTACGTAAGATACGTAGAAAGCAAAATCTGTAAGAAATCGGGACGAAAAATCTTTCAGAAGAAGACGCACAAGATTTGCTCTAACTGCTGGAAGAAAAATAAAGCGGCTAAAGGCTCAGAAAATAAAAGCTCCTACTATGCCGAAGATTGCTACCTCACTTCAAACAAAAACAACCAGAACGACTGGATACTTGACAGCGGCTGTACCTCTCATATGACGTTTCAACATGAGTACTTCAAAAACTTTAGTACAGTTTCAAGAAAACTTAATTTTGCTTCAGAACAGCACTCTACTGAAATTAAAGGTGAAGGCAGAGTAACACTGAAAACCAATTATCGAGTAATTAATCTCGAAAACACTCTGTACGTACCCTCACTTAGTAAAAATTTACTCTCAGTGCCAAAAATGACAGAACATGGAGCTTCTGTAACTTTTAAAAAAGATAAAGCGTTCGTACGCAACAAGACAGGAGATTTGGTTATGACTGCGGAAAAATGTCAAAACAGTGGTCTCTATAGTGGTACTATGTCAAGTCGCAAACCATCGAACAAAATTACGCAGCTACATTTGAAACAATTTCAAACAGTGCGAAGAAAAACTCCTTACTGGAATGGCACAGGAAGCTTGGACATATGAACGACAAAGATCTGCGTCTAGCTCTCAACAAGGAGACTTTGATTGGATTACACTTTGACAAAAAAGAGTCTCTGTCCGACTGTGACGCATGCATTCAAGCTAAAATGACTCGCGTACCAAGCCCTCCACAAAGAACAACTCCTAGAACAACTGAACGTTTGGAGATAGTCAGACTGTAGCCATAGCAACCTACAGCATAGACAATGAAGAGTGATAGAATATGCATTCTCTTCACACCCTCTGAACTTTTAAGAATTTGGTAATTCTATTTAGAAATTCTTTTAAGTCCAATTTTTCCACTCAAATCTTCCAATCTTGGACCGTACAATGGCTTAGTGAGCATATCTGCCAATTGTGTTGTAGATGGAACTTGTTTCACTAGTAGTTCCCCATTGGTGACACACTCACGTACAAAGAGATGCTTGAGTTTAATGTGTTTAGTACGTTTGTGATACTCATATTTTGGATTATGAGATAGTTTCACAGCCGATTCATTGTCCAAGTAGAGTACTGGTTTTTCTAAGGAGATTATATCCTTTAATAGGGCATTCAGCCACAATATTTCTTGTGCGGTTTCACTGGCAGCCATTATTTCTGCCTCTGCCGACGAGATTGAGACAGTCCCTTGTCTTTGGCTTCGCCAGCTTAAAGCGGCTCCGGAGTACATGCAAACGTATCCCGACGTCGATCGTCCAGTTGTTTGATCGCCAGCCAGGTCTGCATCACTGTAGCAAACTAAATGTGGAGGTGACTTCGCCGTAAACGTAAGGCCATTGTTTAGTGTCCCTTTTAGATACCTAAATATACGTTTAACCAGTACAACATCCTTTCTTTCAGGTGCTCCAAGGTTCCTAGACGCAACACCTACAGCGTATGAGATATCTGGTCTAGTGCCTACTGATAGGTATGCCAGTGCACCAATGGCTTGTCTATAAGGAAATTTTCCATTTGCTTCCTCTTCCTCTCCCGTATAATTTTCTTTCGTTATAGGAGTTGGTGCTGCTTTGCAATTAGTCATGCCGTATTTTTGTAGAACTTTCTTTGTATAGGCTTTTTGAGAAATTGTGATAGTGTGATCGTCGCACACGTTAATTTCCATTCCTAGAAAATATAAGGCAGGTTTGGTAGTAATTTTAAATCTGGATTTCAGTTCATCTATGAACTCGTCTCCTGCTGCAGTTGAATTATGCGCAACCAGCCCGTCATCGACATATAATCCAATCAAGACTTTGGACCGTCCTTTAATTCTAACGTATAGGCAGGGATCTGCTTCACTTTGTTGAAAGCCAACCTCTTGTAAAAACTCGGCTATGCACGAATTCCAGCAGCGCGGCGCCTGTTTCAGTCCGTATAAGCTGCGTTTGAGTTTACAGACTCGTTTGGTTCCGTCGTGAAACCCTTCAGGCTGTTTCACATAGATTTCTTCTTTGACAGATCCATTAAGGAAGGCAGTTGCTACGTCAAATTGTCGCAACTTTAAATTTTCTTTAACCGCAATTGCTATTATTGCTCGAATTGTGCTAAGGCGGGCTACAGGACTAAATGTCTTGTCATAGTCCACGCCTTGTTGTTGGGAGTAGCCTTTAACAACTACCCTTGCTTTAAATTTATCTATTGAACCGTCTGGATTCGTTTTCAATTTATAAATCCATTTGCAAGGTAAAGCTTTTCTTCCTTTAGGCAAATTCGCTAAATCCCATGTCTGATTTTCGTGTAGTGAATTTATCTCACTTAACATAGCTTTGAGCCATTTATCTTTATAAGGAGATTCCATAGCTTGTTTATAAGTTTCTGAATCCTTCGGTAGGTTTTCGACTTCAGCGACAGCTTCCAGTACAAAGTCATCATACCGTTTGTGGTTGCTGTATTGCTGATCTGTTTCTCAGATTATATTGCCCCAGTTCATGTGGTGGAATTTCATGTTCAGATTCTAGTTTGCTATGGCTACAGTCTGACTCGTTATTTTTTCACTCTTGCCACTCATGTATATACTGTTACATTTAAACTTGCTCTACTTATTAAATATATAATAATATTCATTTATACTTGCATATGCTTTATTATTTACATAACAAAAACTTAAAACTTACCTTGTTTAATACGAGACCTCGTCTGTAGTTGACACACCCGTTTATATGACGTAGTATCCAATTAATGAAGAGGCTATGTGGTAGAACTTCTGCTTGCCCAGAAATTTGAGTGGAAATTAATAAAGAAAATCTCAGGATCGTATTCCAGAACTCTACTTAATACTCAAGTCAGGACTTGAGTATTGCAGTGAGCACTGAAAATCATACTCAAGTCCTTACCATTAGGATAGTATTTCCAGTGCTTGAAATAATCCTGACTTGAGCATTGAGTAGAGTTCTGGAATACGACTTCAGAGTCGTATTCTAGAACTCTACTCAATGCTCAATTCATGGTTTGAGTATGGTTTAAATCACTCTAAATCATACTCAAGTCCCTGCTATTAAAGTCGTATTTCCAGTGCTTGTGTTGCCAGTGCAATCCTGACTTGAGCAGACTTGAGTATGATTTCAAGCACTGGAAATACGACCCTAATGGCAGGGACTTGAGTATGATTTCTAGTGCTTACTGCAATACTTTACCCATTAAGTATTTTGTAATATTGATATTTCGACGAGCGCGATCCAGTGAAAAACAGTACCAAAGAAAAAAAAAGAAAAATGTCAATAAACACAAGATAACCTAAAAAAGCCGTACCGAGCGACAGTCATTAGTTTGGATCTCACAATTTCTCATTTCTCTAATTTGTAATATCCCTAACGAAGCAGCTCTTTTTGTACCTATTTTCCTTTGTAATTCAAACAACACAACTTAAACCAAAATTCAAAAAATCTTGTCATATTTCCTTTTTCGAGTATTTCTTTTTTTACATACTTATGGAAGAGATATTTTCTATTTCGGTATTTGATTGAAGTGATTTATATAAAAAAAAATGCTTCAATAATATTTAGACATTTTAATATGTAAACTCCAAGCTGTCGAAATGTCTTTTAAATTTAACTTTTCTAGTGGTGATAAAAATTCGCCGGAACCAGGTAACATCGAAACACTTTTGTTCAGAAATCAGCAAACATTGCAGATCAATAACAAAGGATTTGCTAATTTTAGATGAGTCTTCGAAACAAATGGAATACGCCAAATGCGAATGTACAGAAGTAATACCAAATATCAAACTGGATTTAAACAATTTAGCTGGCAAAGTAAAGATGTTCGTGTGCGGGGATTTGGAAATAGGCCATGTGGCGGCTAAGGAAGCTATGCTGCAAATAGGGACGGTGGATAATGACTTACAAAATGCAATTGAATTAGCTGAAAAGAAACATAGTGACCTTGAGCCTGGCAAATATGAAGGTTTGTATTTACATCTGTTATTAATTAATAAAGTGTGTTTACTTTATAAGTTATTATAATTAGATATAACAACTTTATATTACCGAATTGATAGTTATGTGCCTTTATTTATGCTGTTGCTAATAAAACAGAACACATTTAACAAAACATAATTTGTACAAAATGGTAAGTTGTCTTCTTATCATTTACTATTGTTATATCTATCGTTTGGTGTAAAGGGCTGTTGTCCAATGTTATATCTAAACCGTCCTATAATATTTAGTGAGTTATCGGAATTGAAGGAGCTAATCTACCTAAAGTATAAAAGTTTTCTTAGTATGGACATACCCATTTTGTCATTAATGCATATAAATTTTTTTGTTTACTGTTTATTTTCTAAACAATCCAAAATATAGGTCGTCACATGTTTATTTTCTAAATGACTAAATAATTTACCTATAGAAACACAACTACAATATTATTTTATGAGATAATTTGTAGCAAAAGCTTAATAGCTATACCCTTTGCCACAGAATTTATCCATTTCTGAGGGACCATAATATGAATAAATGGGCTAAGAGCTATGATGGGATATCTGTGACAAGGCGTACATGGTACAAAACTATCCAATTGCGTCCTCCAAGAAAGCCCTGGTTCGAGGAGGGTAGACTGTCCAAGTCACTGTTAATAATTGCTCTTAGACCGCATTCTGGTCAAATTCCATTAAATGAATTTTACTATTTAATGATGAGGGCAGACTCCCCTCAATGCCAAATCTGTAATAGGTTGGAAGACAGCTTGATGCTTCATTTAATGGGATGTGATCGATATGTGTGCTGCCAGGCCCAATATCAGTTAAAAGACATTGGTCATGTAGGAGAGCTAAATTTAATGCTGAGCAACTCGTAGACGAAGAGTGCTGAACTAGTGATGAAAGAGACTCAGTCTTTTAAGGCCTTTTAAAAACCTCAACCAAATTTTTAACGCCTCACAACCAGTCTAGTCTTTTAACCCTCAAGTCTTGAGTCATAAGACTAAAACTGAAAACTAATTCGAGTCAGTCTTTTAATCCTAGGAAGCTTAAAAGACTTATAGGTCTAAAATGACTAAAAAGACTAAAACGACTGGCGCCTCACAGCCTCGGGAATCGCGAGTCATGAGCCGTATGGCGTGATTTTATTTCTATCCACAAGGTATTTATTTTGCTATTTTTATTATAAGTAAATAAATGTGGTTATTTACTACATACTACTTGTGTCATTTTTATTTATAAACTTACACACATAAAATAGGTCCTTTGCAAACAACTCCAGTCGTTTTAAGTCTTTTGAGTCTTTTAGTATAACAATTGAATCTTATTAATAAAAACTCCAACTCCCAGTCTTCATTTTAGAGTCACTCAACCTGTAAAATGGAGTCGAGTTATTATAAAACGCCTTAAAAGACTGAGGGTCGTATTCTAGAACTCTACTCAATGCTCAAGTTAGGATTTGAGTATGGCTTAAAGCACTTGATATCATACTCAAGGCCCTGCCATTAGAGTCGTATTTCCAGTGCTTGTGTTTCCAGTGCAATCCTGACTTGAGCATTGAATAGAGTTCTAGAATACGACCCTGAGTCTCTTTCATCACTAGCTGAAGCTCTATATTCCTGTGAGATCTTGCTTTCTGATCAGGAGCAATACTGTAATGTCCGTGTTATTCTTTAGTTTAGCTAAATTAACTCCCTCAATTCCAATCACTGGTGATAACTGTATAGTAAATATTTATTATTTAACTGGCAAACTTGCAGTATTGCTTGCATTAATAAGCAATTTTTTTTTCATAGGAGGACTAAAGATTTGGGAATGTACTAGTGATCTACTTAGTTATCTAATTCCAAATCCTGATGACATTAATTATGAAACAGCAAAGGTTATGGATTTGGGGTGTGGAGCTGGTATACTTGGCATCTATGCTTTTATGTCTGGTGCACGTGTTACATTTCAGGACTATGTGAGTACCTATATTTTGTGTTTTCTTGTAGCCATAATAATTGAGGAGCGTCTGAACAAAAACCACTAAGTTGCATTTTGACTTATTCAATTTCTTAATGCCAAACAGTATTGGTTATGAATAAATTTATGCAACCTAAATATCAGTCACTCAATACGCTCTAAAAACATTCATTCAATAAAACGAAATTATATTGGTTTTTGTCTCAATTTATAATTCTATTATTATTATTAATAACATTATGTACATGGTTTATAAGTTTTTGAAATTTCTTTTTAGAACAAGGAAGTGCTGAAATTTTTGACCATACCAAATGTGTTACTGAACATTGATGATTGTGAAAACTGTCAAGATATCAAAAACTGTAAATTCTATTCAGGAGACTGGGAATCCTTTAACATGAAATTAGGCGATGGAGAACTCTATGATGTAATACTTACTTCTGAAACTATTTACAATCCTGCTAACTACAGTAAACTTGTACAACTGTTTATACAAAGATTGACTAAAGATGGTATTGCCTATGTGGCAGCCAAGACATATTATTTTGGTGTTGGTGGTGGTATGAGACAATTTGAAACTGAAGTTACAAATAGTGGAATGTTAAAATGCGTAGTTTGTTGGAAATCGCAAAATACAGAAGGTATACAAAGAGAAATTCTGAAAGTAACAAGAAATGATATATTTGTTATTGAATAATAAATTATTCCTACATTTGGAAGCCTAGTGAGTGTATTCTTAAATATCTAAATATAAACTTATTGTACAGTTGTATATTGTATCAAAATGATTAAAAATAGAAACAATACAGAACTGTATTACATAACAGTTAATAAAGGTAATAAAATAAAAATGTTACCATCACTTTATGGTCGACACAAGAAAAAATTCTAAAAAATTATGTATGTACTAACGAATCCCAACAGTATTATACAAAAATATTACGTATTGTAACTTTCTTGTTTATGGAGACAGTCTTTCATAGACCCATCCATCATCACCCTCATGAAGCAGTTTTCCGTCAGGTACCTCATCTGCTTTCACTTTACGAAACTTGATTCGATCATGGAGACGGTCACGTTGCCCTTGCCAGAATTCTACTGCTATTGGGCGAATGATATAACCACCCCTGCAAAATATTTTGACAATACTCTAGTTGCTTCTTTACACTCATTGACTTACAATAAGTCAATGTTTACACTACTATTATTTGTCTCTTATTTGCAAGATTTATGTTACTGGCTACTTTGTAAGAATGACATTATTGTTTCAAAGTTGCCAATCAATATAGACTTTTGTGTTCAATTTAGCAGCAAAAACCTTTGAAGTTCACTCATTTATGTATCTGGACACTCGGCAGCAAGAATCTAATATCACTAACACAAGGTTTGTATTGTCTACTTTTGGGCAATATGAATATAACAAGAGTAGAAATGGAATTTTTCTAGCTGCTTTAAGGAGCTTACCAATAGCTTGGTTTAGGAACTTCTTTGCCAGGTATCAGATATTCCTTTTCCAGAACACCTTCTCTTTCACAGAGAATATCCCTTGACTCAATCGGAGTGCTCTGGTAACTCGCACATGCTGCAATTTGACTTGGTACTGGCCGGGTATGAAAATAAATTGTGGACTCCTCATCTGATATTTTCTCAACTTGGCCTTCAATCCTTACTGACCGGTTTAATATTTCCCAGTAGAAAGTAGCTGCTACATTGGGATTTTCATTCTGAAATTTATGCAAACAAATTAGTAACTCTGTTAATTATTATTGTGTATTCTTTACATTTGACACTACTTGTAATAAGATGGTTGAACAGGCTATCTGTCGTCTTCGTCACGAACTGCCGTATCTTTATTTTTTTTTTAATCCAAGCAAAACATAATTTTATTTTACTCAGATTTCAACAACAACAATTTCCATTAATGTTCAACAACATGTTCCAGAGGAGAACAAGTTTCATATGAGGTACAGCTTTAAACTGAAAGAATTTGCTTAGTGTTATTTATGGCACGTTTGTCAGGAGAGGCATGATTATAATAATATAGCATACCATTTCTTTAGCTTTTCGGCTACCATAATTGGTAAAAAATTTAAATCCTTCTTTGCCATAGCCTTTTAACAGAACAAATCTTGCTGAAGGAAATCCATCCCTATAAAATAAAAAAAATTACACACATGCTTTTATGACACTAAGGGACAAATATTACAATTCCGTTATTGTTTTGTTAATTAAAATTACATGAGTAGTAACATACTTGGTTGCAGTAGCAAGACACATGGCATTAGGTTCAAGAATCTCTTTCCTAGTGCAAGCTTCTTCAAACCATGCCTTGAATTGACCAAAAGGCTCCTTGGAAACCAACTGCTTTTCGAGAAATGTGTCATTCTTATCTTTGTATTTTATTCTCATACCTGTAAGTAACATTTTACATTACTCAGTAACTAAATTGAAATGTAATTAAATCCACACTCTACTAGACCACCAACAAGGGAGTGAAATATAATATATGTAAACTTTTCTGAGTAGATAAACTGACTTCAAAAAGGAGGTTCTCAATTTAACTGTATTTTTTAAATTTTGTGTATGTGTGTGTGTGTGTGCGTGTGTGTGTTGTGCGATTGCTCCAAAATTTTCTGAACCGATTTTAAGGACTTTTTTTGGAAAGCGGTACCTCAATACCCATTCAAATTTGAAGAAAATATTCTACCACCATGGGTAGTTAAATAGGTGATCAATCTGATTAATTGATTGTAATAAAAGTTGGCACATAAACATAACATGAAAATAAAATGTTGAGAGAGATGATGGAAATAGCAGACGGATGTGTATAATTCTTCAACAGTGTACAGCAGCTACCTTGCGTTTGGGTACAATTCATTTTGACTATGACTTCCATGTCGGTTATTGCTGAGGAGACCAGGTTAATCAATGCAGAGAAAGTGGATAAACAAACTTCGGAAGACATGCTTTTTTTTAAAGGTTAATAACTGCCTCTGTGGCCGAACGGTTACCATGCCGGACTGCCACGCAGAGGTCCCAGGTTCGATTCCCGGGCCGGGAGAAATATTTGTATGGCCTACATTTATTTCTCTCGTGAGTTTGGGTGTAATTTGTAGTTGTCTATGTGTGTCCATGGCACCCGCGACACAGGGTTTCCCTAGTGCGGGGCTATGTTGAGTGTGTGCGTTATTATTATTATTATTAAAAAAAAAAATTAAGTTGAACTGATCCTACACGCTAAAGTACAAGCAGGACAAGTTCACCATAAACCCATTTATACATCCCATTGCTGGGCACGGGTCTCCTCTCACAGGCTTTCTGCGATCGAATTAAATTTTTAAAAGTTATAAATATAAATAAAACCCCTTACCTCCTATATCAATGCTCATGTTGCGCGCAATTATATAAACTCTGGAGTTAATTAACGGCAATCGCGTCAGACATCGGGTGGTACCCATACGCAAATGTTAATTAATTTTGGTTTATTTCTTACGCTAAAACTTTATACCTACAATATTATGAGATGAGACTTAGAAGATCGTTCATCCGTGAACTTAATACAAAAAATATATTGATTTCGAAGTGGCTACATGATACAATGAGCACTTAACTTTGATAAATGGCAACCAATAGTGCTAAACTGCTAAAATAATAAATGTTAAGTAATCACTTGATAATACAGATAAGCACAGAACACTACTCTTATGGAGCAGATAATACGGCCACAGATAACTGAAGGTAGACAAGTAGAAAATACGGCCTTACTCTGCTCCACTGCTCCATAGATCAAAGCACAAACTAATAAGAGATGATCAAAGTCATATGCACTTAAACTACTAATACGTCATATGCAATTTTTTTTTTATTAATAATTTTGGCTTGGATATAAGCCCTTGAGCCATGTCTTCGTTTAATTATGTTTCTATAAATATGGCCGCCACAAAGAGGATAGGCAATTTGAGGCGGCGTGTTTGGATTGACTCGGGATTCCTTAGAAGATACGAGTATTTTAGTTCGACATTAGTATAATTTCGCGTTTTAATCTTCGATTAAGGCACAATAGCACTATACTACTCCACTTGATACTAGATTTCACAAAATAATGAAATAATTAAACGAAGACATGGCTCAAAGGACTTATATCCAAGCCAAAATTATTGATAAAAAAACAGTGCCATTGGAAAAGCGCGGGAAAGCTCGATTTAGGCGGGTTCGTTTTTTCGGCTTAGAAATTGAATATTTAATAATAATTTATATTAAATAATCAATAATAAATATCTTGGTGTTCTTTTTGATTGTAAAATGAATGGATCTCCTCATTGTGATTAAGTTGTTAATAAATGTGAAAAGGTTCTTAACATGCATTGACTTACAATTATATGGACGTCGGGTCCGCGCTAAAAAGTGTCCGCACTTGTAAGGCGCTAAAATCGTATACAGAGCGCGACACTCCGCTTTAGTCTTCATTTGTTCTACTGACAGCGCGATACTGCGATGACATTACAATTTAAATTTCGAATAGGTTGACTTGGGACATTTTTTTCGTGGTTTTTGTATTAGACCCGTCGTCCATTTATTTGTAAGTCAATGTTAACATGCTTAGATGTTTATGCGGGGTCTGGTGGGGCAGCCATTCGTACTTTTCAAAACTACTGTATAATGCTCTGATTAGGAGTATATTTGACTATGGATCTTATAAGCTAGAGCCATGTGGCTTGTCTAATCTTAAAAGGCTAGATAAGGTTTTGATTTTAGTGACGTTAATAGACGTTTTGCTAACGCTTCCTTTAACTTTAACTTAGACGCTAATTGGCATTCCTACAATCATATTTTCACTGATGCCTCTAAACTAGATAACTCGGCCGTAGGAGTGGGTGTTCTTCATTCTCAAAAAACAAAGCTTCCTCTTGAAACATTCGTTTTCACTGGCATTCACCGGTATCAACAAACTGCACAGCAGTTTGGTGACTTTTACTAAATAAGTTACCAGAGTTGTAATCTTGAAAATAAATAAAAAAAAAGTTTAAAAATGTGTTTGTGTTTGTGTGTGTTGACATTTATAATAATATACCACTCGAGATTAAATTATTAGACTTGTGTTTGTTTAGGCATACTTTGGTTAAAGTAAACTAAAGAAACGAAAAAAATTCGATTATCAGACGTCACGTCCGCATCGGAAATAGCATCCGATTTTATTACTGGTCTGATTGTCTGAAGGCGCGCTCTCTTTAATATACTTTTGCAGGGAGACGAAATACACGTCCGATTCTCCCCTCCGATTTGCAGCGTTGGCAATGCAAATTATTAAAAATCCCCGAAAATCAAGATTATACATTTGGGGAGAGCAAAGGTCATATTTCCCACATGTAATAGGGTGAATTTCACTTTCCGAATTTCAAAGGCACTTTTTGAGTGATTTTTGTAAAATCCTTTTTTCTTTTGGTTTTAAGGTCTTAAACGTACAAATAAGTTCAAGCAATGTCAATAATTACAAAATCACAGAAATATTTAAGTTAAATACAACAAAAAACGATATTTTAGGTCACACTAATGAGATTGCAGTAACACGAATGATTTTCTGATAAACATAAATGAGAAAGACGGCACAGTAATGAGAAATTATTATTAAAACACACATTTTATCGTTCACAAAAGAACATTTAAAAACATTTAACATGTAACAAATATTTTAATATAACTTTTTATATCAAAATCCTTCTCATGCGTGTAAGACCATCTATCTACATGTAATTAATAAATAAATCTAAATAAGTATTTTGTTAATGGCATGTAAACTTTGTTGTACATCAATATATCATCATCACCACCATGAACATTATCATCATGATCACTATTATTATCAGCATCATTACCATTCAAATCATCATCGCAATCATCGTCATCATCACCACCATCATCATCGTCATCACCATCATCACCACCACTATCACCATCTAATTGTTATATTTCAAGTAAATGTTTGGCTTACAGTAACTATTTGACTTAAAAGTAGACAAGAATGAAAGCGACAATAATGATATTTGGATACATTTTTAATTGTGAAGTGTGTAAAATATGCTGGAACGTTATAAAGGTGCATGGATATTAAAGTTCCCTTTGTCTAATTGATGTACAATAACGTTTATAAAACTGTTACTTAATACTCATTTAGATAGATTGCTTTACATGAATGAAAACGATTTAGTCACTAGCGCTGAAATTGGTATTTAACTCGATTTTTTTGCTAAAACGGAGATGCACAGGTTACTTCACTGTGTACACTCCAATCCGGCAGGAGCCCTTTCTAACGTATGCGAAAGGTGAAGGCGATGCGGTATGAACTTTTGTCATCAGGAGGCTTTTAGTTGAATTGACACTAATGATAAGTAAAATTAAAACACGTTTTGTATCCCCAAGAAAACATGTTTGTTTATAATAAATTGGAAAGTTACGGTATGTATTCGATGTATAAGTTATTAGAGTTTATCCTCGATGAGAAATATTGTGATTTCCACGAGTTTTTAATTTTTTTCTTCTTTTCTTAAAATTAGGGCGACATGGAACTGGCTCCCATGAATGAGAAATTGCCCACTTTTTTAATTTTTATTTATCACTGTGACGTAATAAAGTAGTCTTTTTTTGTGTAACACAGACTAAGCAAGCAAGCAATCATATTAAATAAATATTGGTTAGCGTTCATGTAATGACATAAAAGTTATTGAAAGGGACACGTTTTTGGACGTTATCTGAAAACGACTCAATAATATTTATTCATTCTCAGTATTTATTATATTATCCTCCTTACGCTTAAAAATATATCAAATAATTAAGAAAGTCAAAATGTGCCCATCTATACATATACTTTATGCTATAATTAGAAATAAACTCAACAAATGTCGTACGTAACGTCAAAAAGTTTGATGAGCGGCAAGTTGTGGTATTAAGGTCTATCCACACATACCTCCGACGTGGACGAGCCGTGCTCAGTCAGGGGCTCAAAAAAAAAATCGTTGCGTGTGATTTGTATGAACTTGTTCACACATTCTATTTAAGAGCCAGGCTCTTGTCGGTGACTGATAATAGTAGTAATTTTACAATACAAGATAACGTGATTCTAATCCTACTGGATAATTTTATACATACAAGCGGTTTGTTAATAATTCTATATAAACGTTGCTATACATATAAGCAGCGCATGTGTGATGTTGGAAAAAATATCAATATCGTTCATAAATAAACAAATAAATAGTGTATTTATCAGTGATCATCAATGTAACAAAAATATGTTAAAATTCTAGAATGCGACGGCATTTTCCCCACATAGCGTAATCTAAACAAAAGCCTCCAAACGAGTTGTTGAGTTGAAATTTCCTGCATTTGGGGAATTCTCTATAACTTGACAACATTGCAGTTAGTTCAGAAAAATATGACGGAAGTACCGGGAGTCGTTTTCAGATAACCTTCAAAAATGTGTCCCTTTCAATCACTTTTATATTATTACATGAATGCTAAGCATTATTTACTTAATATGATTGTTTGCTTACTTAGTCTGTGTTACACATAAAAAGACTCCTTTGCTATGTCACAGTAATAAATAAAAATTAAAAAAGTGGGCCATTTCTCATTCATGGGAACCGGTTCCACGTTGCCCTAATTTTAAGAAAAGAAAAAAAAACTTCTTACACGGATGAGAAGGATTTTGATACATGTTATATTAAAATATTTGTTACATGTTATATTAAAACGTTTACGTTTTTAAATGTTCTTTTGTGAACGATAGAATGTGTCTTGTAATAATAATTTCTCATTACTGTGCCGTCTTTCTCATTTATATTTATGAGATAATCATTCGTGTTACTGCAATCTCATTCGTGTGACCTAAAATATAGTTTTTTTTGTTGTATTTAACTTAAATATTTCTGTGATTTTATAATTATTGACATTGCTTGAACTTATTTGTACGTTTAAGACCTTAAAACCAAAAGAAAAAAGGGTTTTACAAAAATCACTCAAAAAGTGCCATTGAAATTCGGAAAGTGAAATTCACCCGCGGACGCCTATGTAACGTGTATTGAGTGAATCCGTTCCGGTTCCGATAGTCCGCGCTTAATGTCAACATGACGTGGATTCGCTCTGTACCTTTTGGAGGGAAAAGTTACGTTTTTATTTTGACTTTCAATTATTTTGTGAAATCTAGTTTAAAGTGGAATAGGATAGTGCTATTGTGCCTTAATCGCAGATTAAAACGCGAAATTATACGAATCTCGAACTAGAATACCCGTAGCGGCCCGTTTTAAGGAATCCCGAATCAATCCAAGCACGCCGCCTCAAATTGCCTATCCTCTTTGTGGCGGCCATATTTACAGAAACATAATTAAACTTCATGTTTAGACTAATGGCTTTGCCAAAGCCTTAATAAATTAAAAAAAAAAAAAATCAACATGACGTGACAGAACACCGAGCCGAACGCCCCGCGCGCCGCCGTCTGCCGTATGGTGTATGGACTGATAAGTGTGGTGAAAATCCAAATAACTTCAGAAAGTTCGCAGTGAATAAAGCTTTATTTTTGAACGAGTTCTAATTATATTACCATGGAATCTGAAGTGTTAAAAGAAAAAATCCACACCGAGCCCATGCTCAATGATCCTCGGTACATAACCTTACTTAGTTTGGTCGTCCTTATTGTGACTCTGTGTAAGTAAATAACTAAATTAACATATAACTTTCGGGCTCACGACTGTACTTTAATCCAAATTAACGTTGAGGGTACGATACAAAACCTATTCAACAGGATATAATTGGAGAATTTGGTTGATAATAAAAGTTAATTTGCATGCTTTTCAGTGTTTTGGTGGTGCTTCTCCCGGCGTCGGCAACAGCGTCGCTCAGTCCTGCTAACGGGCCTCTCAGACTCTGGCAAAACTCTTCTGTTTGTGAGACTCGCATACTCCCAATACAGGCAGACTTTCACCTCTATGAAGGAGAATGTTGAAGATTACATCACTTCTAATGTTAGTTTGTACTACAAAGACGATATTATATTTATTAAAGAAAATTTCAATATAAAAATATCCATGATGGCTGACATCATATCCTTGGTATTACATAGCCACATGTGAGTAACAATCATATGAAAGTCATGAAAATAATACAAGCCACATGAAACAAATTATGTATTTGTGAAGTTTTAGAACTTTCTTATTTAAGCATAAAAGTTATCAACTAATTTTGTTCTAATGTCAGAAAAGTTGTCATTTTTGTAGATGTGGTCTACCACTAAGGGTGCAATATATAATATAACTGAATCTTAAAACATTGACAGACAAATGCATGTATTTATTTTTTTCAATTCTTCAAAAGAGTACTTTCCATGGGAAATATGTTGGTGGTATTTTTAACCTTTACAAGGTAAATTCTAGGGTCGGCGGACTAAAGCACATAAGTAAAAAAAATGCTTCATTTGTTAATATATAATTATATATTTTTTGTGTTGTTTTTAGGTTGGAAGTTAAATAACCTATAGAATAAGTTAGAAATTTATGAAGTAACAAATTAATTTGACTTATGTGCTTTAGTCTGCTGACCCTAGAATTATAAGTTTAGTTTTGTAGTAGCAGTAGAACTCCTTGTGAAAGAGTTCATCCAGGGCAGTGCTGCCACCTTACCTATTTCTGCCGCCAAGCAGTAATGTCAGCATGTAAAGGTGCTGGTGAAATTACAGGCACATGTGACTTGTCAACTCATGTCTCAGGGTAACGGGCGCAGTGGTAGTGCCCCTCAGGTCTTTGCAGTTTAAATCTCTGAGTGGCACTGTAACTGTTATGGACAGGCAGCAGGTGTAGCTTACCATCAGGCACACAACTTGTTTGTCCTGTCACTTGATGTTATAAAAATAAGTTTACCAGTTAGGTTTTTAAATTCCAAATAAATTATAAAACGAATTATAGACAAAAGTATATAAGCATAAAAAGTACTCAATGACTTTGCAATCATTTTTATCTTGTATTAGTTTTTAAGTGTTTTAATGTTAAGGAGTCCCCACATTTAACGACATGAAACCTTATTAAGTTAGTCAGAAAAAGCTTATGCTAAAGAGACATTATGCATATTATTGCATCAGCTCATACTACTTGTGTCGACAAAGGTCGGTGACGAATCTGCTTCCTGCAAAATTTAGGCTGCTTCGACGCCCAAAACGGTAGCGTCAACACCCGAATGGCCACGTTGATTTCGAATCCGCATAATGCAACAAGATTGGTGCAACATGATGACAAGTGTGGTCACTTTCCTATTTATAAAAAAAAATCACAAGGCTTAGTGATTTCCAGTCGCAGCTTTTAAAAAATTTATTTATTAGCCTGTATTATACTAACATTTCAATTATATTGACAATTATATTCATAAATTACTTAACCTATAACATCAGCGCATCCTGAAGACGCATAGGTCTCCCCCAGCCGTATCCATCTGGCTCTGTCCCTTGTCAGTCACAGCTTAATGTTCTTTAAATATGAAATTTTCTGTTTTTAATGGTTGGAAAATTGTAGTGAAATTTTTTTTTTTTGTAATAATAAAAAAATTATCTATTGAAATGATATGGCAAATATGTTTAAATAAGTTTCACATGATGTAAATTATGTATCCTGCTATATACTTCTAACCCTTGTAACTAATATTTGTATTATTACATTTTTACAGACCGCATTAAGAATTGTTGACTTACCTGGACAAGAGCGTCTGAGGAACAAGTTCTATGACCAGTACAAGGCCAGTGCTAAAGCCATTGTCTATGTTGTGGACTCAGTCACGATTCAGAAGGAAATTAGAGATGTTGCTGAGTAAGTAAATCAAAATAATCATTTAATTGAAGTCTCTCTACAATAACAATAATTAAAAAATAAAAATAGTGTATGCAGGGTTTCTTAACTAGCGGGTCATAGACCCCTAAGGGGTCCATGTAATGAACCTAACCTAACTTAATGGAAGAGTGAGCATCACACTACCTATTGATATGTAAAGTTTAATCCCAAACAATATAAGCTAGTAAAAAGCTAAACCTTGTTTTTTTATCTTTTCGGGAAGGCTCCGTGGGCTCTGACATTTTGAGGGGGATCCATGACTACAAAGAAACTCTGGTGTACGGTCTGTACAATTCAGTCAGAAGTAATCTGCTCACATTGGAGGTTTAGTCAGGACTGCCCTCGTCATCTTTTGTCCATAAGAAAGTCGGTCTAATTTCGAAATCCTGTCAGTCTAGTAAGTCTGTCATTGTGGTATGGCAGTCTAGTTATTCATGGGGGATGGACGCTGGTCATCCATGGAGGCTGTAAGCTGGTCATCCATGGAGGCTGAATGCTGATCATACTTAGAGGCTGGACGCTGTACATCCAAGGAGGCTGGACGCTGGTCATCCATGGAGGCTGAATGCTGGTCATCCGTGGAGGATGTACGCTGGTCATCCATGGAGGCTGGACGCTGGTCATCCATGGAGGCTG